TAACTCTGTTTATTATATTATATAAAAGCCTGCCTGCCAATTTTTGATATTTGTTATATTTTCAATGTAAGACAGCAAAATCTGCGTGTCTAACCGTGTTAAATTAACAATTTTTTTTTGCATGCCGTATTAGCTGATATTCGACTACGATATGATGACTGCGGTGCAATTGCACTATAAATAAACCTAGCTATTTTAAAACATTTACATATACGGATGTGCTGACTGTACATGCATGGAAAGTCTGACTTAAAGGGGCACGGTGCGATATAAGGGATGGTTTTTGTGCCAAATTAAAAAAAAATATCACCACCGGTTCAACGAATGATTTAACAGAATATGTCAACTGCGAATATGATGATTAAGTATTCTTTTCACACAGTGCATACGACAACCTTTAAGTCTGTACCGATTCAATGTTGTTGTTAGTTAGTTGTATTTTACGTCCGCTTCCACCGAGGTGATATCGAAGACAAAAACCGATTCAAAAATTGAATTATCTTTTATATCCACATTTTTTAAATCCCGAGTTTTATCGTAAATAAAATTAATAGAATCCCTTGTAACCTACTGGTAATACATGATGTATATTGTGTGGGGTGGGGTGTGCTATTCATCGTAGCCCGTTCGTAATTTAGCCATGATAACTGCACCTATTTTGTGTGAAAATCTAGATTGGTCGTGTCCCAATTGTAATTGTTCTTTAATAATGAGGTCAACTATTTTGGATAATGATTACTTACTGACAATTCAGAATAAAAGTATTGTTTACAAGAATACGACATGGTAACAATTTGTTGTTAAGGGGCTTTTATTTAAGTCAACTATCAATTCCTTTTGATGACACGTGTGAATTCACGTAATTAATTAGGAATCTTGACTGCCAGTATGCATTGACTCAGACTCTTTGGTGCCGAAATCAACCACGTGTTCAGCATGGTTGACGGTGACTTCTGGCTATGTGTGCTTGAAAACAGGACATGAAGTCATATATTACTTGTTCGGGTGTGATTTATCAATTTAAAATGCATTGTGTGACATATTTGTCCGAATGGAAACGGCTATTTCGATTTACAAAACTTTCGCTAACGGTAAGACCAGCATCTATGTGTGTAAACTTTGAAATTTTCGTAATTTGAATGAGTTTGAAATAGTCGATCGATGCAAGTCTTAAAAATGTCGAACATATTGATGAAGTAATGTATCGGTACAGCCATAATTCTGTTTATTTTATTATTTAAAAGCGTGTTTGATTTTTGTTATTTTTCAATATAAGCCAGTAAAATCTGCGTGTCTAACCGTGTTAAATTAACAATCTTTCTTTTGGCATGCCGTATTAACCGATATTCGACTATGATATCACTGCCGTGGAATCGCATAATAAATAAACCCATTTCAAACCAGTTTAAAATAATCGCGGAGGTCGGCGGTTTATTTAAATTCGCGGAGGAAATTTAGAGCGGAATTTTGAGCGTGGCCAGAGCGGATTTATTAACTGACGTCCGCGATTTTTCATTTCCGCCCAGGTTGGACCTCGGGGAAATTTAGTACTTCCGCTTGAAGTGTACTGTAGACCCCTGTATCATTGATGAAAATTAAGTGAATTTGGTAAAATTTGAATATATAAATGGAAATTTGATTTGCACTGAACCAAATACAAAAGGCAGCAGATGCTCTGAAAATACACCAAGAAGGGTTTAATTTTCATAAAAGACCACGCCCCCCTCCCAAAAATTTTTTGGTCTCCCTCCGCTCGCCAGATATATTTTTACACCACTCACCAAATCCTGGCTACATCCCTGTGTTTCAGTATGACCCTGCAGGCACATTTTCAGGTGTTTGCGCAGGCACATTCAACTTTTATAGAGCCCTGAGCCTTAGATAGTTTTAAATTTTCATTTAAGAATATTACATTTTTCTATGAAAAGTTTCCAGAAATGTTTGCGCGAGTTATGCCTTACTTCATGGATTACATTTCAGACGGGTATAGCGTTCGCGTGAGTAATGACTCGCGCCTTTTGACAAGGTCTGTAGAGGGTCCACAACCTTCGTATTACACACTTCTACACAATTTGCATACGAAGAGCGGCCATTTTGTCGGGCAGTTTCATTTCGATTTTCCCGAAATACGACTTAACCTTCATTATGGTGGAATGGTAATGTATTTAAACAGGTTTAAAAAATCGCAGAAAAATCATGACCACTAGAGAATCCGCAAGCTAAAAATGTGATTTTTCGAACAATCAGGGGCCATAATCCAGGAAGTTACGAGCCGTTATGCGCGAATATTGAAAGGAACCGAGATCTTTGGGTTATAAACTTGCATTTCTAGTTTCATCAAAATCGGATCAAAATTGTGGCCTCTAGAGGGTCCACAACTTTGATATATCAGATGTTTACACTATTTGCGTCAAGGGGCGGCCATTTTGTTTGGCAATTTTGGTCTGATTTTCACGAAACTCAACCAGACAAAATTACGGTGTAACGATTTTTCGTACAAGAAGGGACCATAATTCAGGAAGTTACGATTCGATATGCACGAAAATAGAAAGGAACCAAGATATTTGGGTTATAAACATGCATTTCACATTTCATCAAAATCAGATGAAAATTGTGACCTCCAGAGGGTCCACAACCCTGGGGCGGCCATTTTGTCAGTCAGTTTTGGTCCGATTTTTACAAAAATTCGAACTCAACCATCCTTAGGGTGTCACAGTGATACATTCAAACGGTTTTTTAAATCGGATAAAAATTGTGACCTCTATGGGGTCCACAAGCTAAACAGCGGCTGCCAGGCAGGATACGCCCACATTTTCGAGAGATGGATAGAGAACAAGCTAAAAAGAAAGTGATTTTTCCTACAATCAAGGGCCATAATTCATGAAGTTACTATTCGATATGCGCAAATATCGAAAGGAACCAAGATCTTTGAGTTATAAACATGCATTTCAGGTTTCATCAAAATAGGATTAAAATTGTGACCTGTACAGGATCCACAACCTTGATATACCATAGTTTTACACTATTCGCGTACAAGCGGCGTCCGTTTTGTTCGGCAATTTTGGTTCGATGTTCATGAAATTCGAACTCAACCTTCATTACATTTTTACACTATTCGCGTACAACAGCGGCCATTTTATCCAACAGTTTTGGTCCAATTTTCACGAAATTTGAACTCAACCTTAATTACGGTGTAACAGTGATATATTCAAACGTTTTTTAAAATTGGATAATAACTGTAACCTTCAGAGGGACCACAAGCTAAAAAAAGGCTATTCTTCATATATATAATCAGGGGCCATAATTCAGGAAGTAATGATTCGATATGCGCAAATATCGAAAGGAACCAAGATATTTGAGTTATAAACATGCATTTCAAGTTTCATCTAAAGGGTCCACAACCTTGATATACCATAGTTTTACACTATTCGCGTACAAGCGGCGGTCGTTTTGTTTGGCAATTTTGGTCCGATGTTCACGAAATTCGAACTCAACCTTCATTACATTGTAACAGTGATATAATCAAATGTTTTTTTTAATCGGGTAATTATTGTGACCTCCAGAGGGACCACAAGCTAATAAAGGCGATTTTTCGTAGAGTCAGGGGCCATAATTCAAGAAGTTATGATCTGATATGCGCAAATATCGAAAGGAACCAAGATCTTTAGGTTATAACCATGCATTTCAATTTTCATCAAAATCGAATAAAAATTGTGACCTCTACAGGGTCCATAATCTTGATATACCATATTTTTACACTATTCGCGTACAAGTGGTGGCAATTTTTGTCTGGCAATTTTGGTCCAATTTTCACGAATCTACGGTGTAACGGTGAGACCACAAGCCAAAAACTCGATTTTTCGTACAATCAGGGGCCATAATTCAGGAAGTTACCATCCGATATGCGCGAATATCGAATGGAACCAAGATCTTTGGGTTATAAACATGCATTTAAAGTTTCATCAAAATCAGATCAAAATTGATATATCCTATTTTTACGCTATTTGAGCACGACGGGTGGCCATTTTGTCTGTCAGTTTTGGTCCAATTTTCACGAAATTCGAACTCAACCAACTTTAGGGTGTAAAGGTGATATATTCAATCGGTTTTTTAAATCGGATAAAAATTATATCCTCCAGAGGGTCCACAAGCTAAAAACATGATTTTTCATAGAATCAGGGGCCACAATTCCGGAAGTTACGATCTGATATGTGCGAATATCGAATGGAACTGAGATCTTCATCAAAATCAGAAGAGAATTGTGATCTCTAGAGAGTCCACAACCTTGATATACCATATTTTTACGCTATTTGAGAACGAGGAGCGGCCATTTTGTCTGTCAGTTTTGGATCGATTTTCACGAAATTCGAACTCAACCATCCTTAGGGTGTAACGGTGATATATTAAAACGTTTTTTTTAAATCAGATAAAAATTATGACCTCCATTGGGTCTACAAGCTAAAAACGTGATTTTTCGTACAATCAGGAGCCATAATTCAGGAAGTTACAGTCCGATATGCGCGAATATCGAAAGGAACCGAGATCTTTGGGTTATAAACTTACATTTCAAGTTTTATCAAAGTAGGATTAAAATTGTGACCTCTATAGGGTCCACAAGCTAAAAACCTGATTTTTTGTACAATCAGGGGCTATAATCTATGAAGTTTCAATCCGATACATGCCAATATCGAAAGCAACCGAGATCTTTTGGAGATAAACCTATATTTCAAGTTTTGTCAAAATTTAATAAGAATTGTGACCTGTAGAGTGTCCACAAACAAATTGTGGACGGACGTCGCGACGGACAACAATATACGTCCACATGAAAATGTGGGCATATAAAAATAGCCATGTTAATCTGCAAAATACAAATGTTTCGCAAGCCAAATTTAATAACAGATAATATATTTTTTTCAAGATTTTTAGAACAATACTGAATTTCAAAGAAACACAGAGTTCAAGAAATCTATTGTTCAATTTCATTCACTTTCTATACCAACCTTTCCTGTTTTGCCAACTTTAGCTGCTGTAGAACAAGGATGAGGATTAACATTTTGATTCTCTGATGTATTAACAAGATCATCTGACGGTGGAGGTACTTGTACAACAACAGGTGTAGCAGCTTCTGTATCTTTATTAACCAATAATACATTGATAGCACCTGAATGACTTTTTAAGTGAATTTGGTAGTTCTTTTTAAAACCAGGCCCCTAAAAAATAGATAAATACTTCCCGTAGAGAGTTCATTTGGTACAGAAAGATTATCCAGCAATCAATCTCCTCTAAGAAAACTTATTCATTATGATGAGATTCTGGAGACATGGAAATATTAATTTACAGTTAGTTGCACCATTATATAGCAGCAAAAGAAAAGTCAGGTTGGTATGTTATTCTGAATATACGCATTGTATAAAACTTGCCAAATGTTTTTATTGTGTATTTGTGACCACATCTCCAACTTTACCTGAGCAATAAGGCTCCGTCCCAAACACAGAATTGAGCCCAGAAAATGTTCTCAAAAACGCAACCTGACTTCTGAGATGGTAATGTGTTCTCCATGATTTTCATGTAACTCATGCTGCACGTCCTGTTCACCGGGACCAGCCCTATAAAATACACCCCCATACTTGGTTGAATCATTCACACTACAACGTCAGCAGCATGCCATGACTCACGACAGCTCAGAAGAACCAGGTACTTGGAAGACTTGACATTGGCCACACTGCCCAAGCCGTTGCCAATCACTTCCAGGTCAATGTTCGGACCATCTACAGGCTTCAGCAACGCTTTCGGGCCACCAACACCACGGGTAGACCAAGGGTTACCACAAGGCGACAAGACAGCCATATTGTGCGACAACACATGCAGAATCCCTTCACACAGGCATCTGAGGCAGCACACAAGACAGTGGGAATACACGGAAAACCAATCAGTACCGATACAGTGCGCCGACGTCTCACCAGAGAGAACATCCATTGCCGTAGACCTTACCGTGGACCGATCATCACCTCTTGCTATCGACGTGAACGTCTACAGTTTGCCCAACAACACCAGAACTGGCGACACAGGCAATGGAGAACTGTTCTGTTCACAGATGAGAGTTGGTATTGCATATCAACTGCAGATGGCAGGACCAGAATATGGCCAGCGTTATTCTGACCAATGTGTCATGGAACGAGACTCATGGGGAGGTCCAAGCATAATGGGTTGGGGTGGAATCGGCCTGAACCAGAGAGTGGGTCCTGTGCTGTTCTAAAATCTTGGTCCAGGGAGAGGAGGCGGCATCACAGCAGTGCGCTACATGGATCAATCTCTCAGACCCCACGTCATACCACATTTCACACGTCATCGAAATAACATTTTCCAGCATGACAATGCCCATGCCCACTCTGCCGGAGTTACTCGGATCTTTCTACAGCAAAACAGTGTCGACGTTATGCACTGGCCAGCCCTTAGTCCTGACTTAAACCTGATTGAACATCTTTGGGATGAAATTCAGAGGAGACTTAATAACGACGTACCGAGACCAAACACAGCCAATGGATTGCGCCAGGCTTTTCCGAGAGTGTGGTTCCAGGTGCCAATGGCGTTCATCAATTGTCTGGTCCACTCCATGTACAGATGCGGCGCTGCTGTTATTGACACTTGCGGTGGACACACCAGATACTGATGTATAGACTATGTACAGACGCTGAACCTTCTCGTAATGTCTTGGAATTGTGATGAATTAATCACTAATATTAGTAATACATCAACATACTGTTCACAAAAAATTGATCCGTTTAGTAAGACATTTTCTAGAATGTCTTGGAATTGTGATGAATTAATCACTAATATTAGTAATATGTCAACATACAGTTCCCAAAAAATTGCTTTGATCCATTTAGTAAGTCGTATTCTAGTATGATTTGATTAAAGTGCCTCTCTGATTTTGAAATCGTACTGACGTTTTTTTTGCTGTTTAGTATATTTAGAGGACTGTTTATGCGACACCACTTTTTCACCAATCAGAATCCAAGAAATTTCATTTTGAGCTACATACATATTATTACCTATTTAAAAGAAGCAAAGGGTTCATTGAAAACTCAGCCTTTATCTTTAACTACATTTATTCTTATATATTAATCTAAACATTCAAACAATTTAGGCTCTGTTACATTCATCCATCTTGAATACTATCAACATCATCCCCCAATGAAATTACTAACTGTAGTAAGCAATTGACATTTGGGTTGTTAAACCGAGTTCTCAAACACTGTATGAGAAATGACGTGATTTGTAGATGGAAATAATTTGTTTCATCCAAAGCCAATTTATTTTGTAATCAACAATCATGGCTACTTTAATAGTAATATCCAATTAGACTTACTATAGCTGGTATAGGAACTTCTAACTGTGTACCAGAAGGTGCTTGGACAGCGATCAACGTATCACCGCTAAAACATTTACATGTATCTTCATGTGTAACATATGCTAAACTATTATAGTTAAGAAATATTTTAATATCAATTTTATTTTCTTTAAACTAAGACGAATTCTTTTACCAATAACATATAAATTGATTTATTTTATCATCTTTACACATGGAAGAATAATCACAAAAACTAAATACAACCTTTCTATTGTTACAATAACAAAAGAAACAAGCCAACAGTGAGGCTGATATCCCACGCCGCAATCCCAAAACAAATATGACACATCTTTTTGAATAGTATCGATCAATCAAACTGATTATCTATACTTAGTCTAACTAAGCAGAAAATGTTCATGATGAAACTCAGTCGAGGTTTTGAAGTAACTGGTAGTGAAACTATACACTAAGTTTCATCACTCTCCATCAGTTAGAATCAAAGTTATCTTGTCCCAAAGCATCAACCAATAAAATTGCTTAGCTCTGCTTAGCTTTAGCAGAAAATGTTAATCATTGAACTAAGGATGTAAACGGGTTATCAGTTAACCAGTCATGGTTCAGTTGCACTGGTGAACCGGTTCAAAAAATTACTAACTGATATATTCGTTTTCATATCATATCTGGATCCATATTCAAAGGTTTTCTTAAAGTTAAGTAAAAATACTTAATTTTTCCACTTAATAAGTGTCTTACTTTAAATCGGTATTCAAAGGCCCTGTTTTACATATACTTGGCTATGTGAAAAACTTAACTGCACACTTAAAATATCGAATACCAACAATAGCTAAAAAGCAGCTAAATCGTCCGGGCAGTCAACAAGTGTTGTCGCATATTTTTACTTTTTTTGGTAATGAAACATTTATAATACACTAAAATCTGATTAAAGAGTAACAACCCATGAAGTAATTATCAATCTGAAGTCAATCTGAAGTCAATCGGATGATAACTTTAGCCTCTAGAGCGTCACAAGATTTTTCAAAGTGATCAAAGGCCATAACTTTGGCAATAATTATCGGAAATCGTTGAAAATGAATAGACTTCTTCGTTTCATGACCTTAAACACTGTGTATAAATTTAAAGTCAATCGGATATTAACTTTAGCCTACAAGATTTTTCAAACTGATCACGGGCCATAACTCTTGCAGTAATTATCGGAAATCGCTGAGAATCAATAGGCTTCTTCGTCTCATGACCTTAAACACTGTGTATAAATTTAAAGTCAATCGGATATTAACTCTGACCTCTAGCGCGTCCACAAGATTTTTTTAAGTGATCAAGGGCCATAGCTCTGGCAGTAATTATCGGAAATCGCTGCAAATCAATAGGCTTCTTCGTCTCATGACCTTAAACGAAATGAAATGAAATGGGGTTTAACGTCCTACTTTTCTTCTCCTATGCAGGGCATACGCCATAAAGTGTGCTATGAGGGAAATTTTGCCCGGGCAGCGACACTATCGCCTACTCTTATATCGATTTCCAACTGCGAAGGGATCTTTTACGTGCATTCTAATGTATACACGAGACCTCGGTTTTTTGTCTCATCCGAAGGACTAGACAGCTGTCCTTATCAGGCCCTCTGTCCTGCATCACTGACAAGGGGGAACCACAACGGAAATGACCTTAAACACTGTGTATAAATTTAAAATCAATCGGATATTAACTTTAGCCTCTAGAGCGTCCACAAGCAATTGTCGACGCCGGACCGACCGACGGACGCCACAACAATATACTACCACATTTCAATGTGGGCGTATAAAAACTAAGCTTTATACACTCCTGAAACTTCTTTAACATTGAGTACCTACTGTCAAGTTGGAATAAATGCAAGGAAAAGCCTGTGATTTCACTTCTTTTGAAACTATTGACCCATCAAAATGCTATTTTTTAGCCGATGCCCAAGACAAAATCGGCTGGAGCAATTTGACCCTTCTATAAAATAAATTATAAGTGTACCACAGGTATTACCTTCCATATATCAGCTGACAATGGCCCCCACAGTAGCCCCAATTCTAGTGACAGCCTTGAAAAGGCCCTAAAGATAGATATCAGACCCAGTAAATGGTCCCAGCCACTATTTGGCTCCACGGGAGCCTAAAAGCAAAAAATGGCCAAATAATGAAAAATTTCAAACTGGCTGAAAATTTCCACCTTAAAGTAAAATGGGCTGCTAAATCCACTGGAGTAGTCAATTTTACCCGATTTAGACTAGGTAAGGAGATATTAACAAGTTTTCAAAATATTACTTTTTTATTCATTCAATTTCAACTGGGGCTACTTTGAGCAATGGGGCAACTTTGAACATTTTTCAATATTTTGTTTGAGCATTTTATATTTTATATTTATTTGTTCATATCATAGAAATAATTCTTACTTTAAATAAACATACATCTTAGACAGTGATGGGATTTCAAAATTTTTCTTGTTTGACATTTTACCGAAAATAACGGGGCATAACTTTTATCGTTATTTAAGCAGAAGAATTCATGCCAGAATTAAAAATCACATGTCGACAAAATATTCAAATCCTGTATGTAATAAAAATAGGTAAACCTCGCTATTTTTCATATTTAATTCCCATACGGTATACAAGTCCTACCACAATCAAAAATCACTTGTCAACAAAATATTCAAATCCTGTACGTAATAAAAATTGGTGAACCTCATTATTTTTCACATTTAATTCCCGTACGGCATTCAAATTTATGTCAGTAACCTTCCTACAAAATTAAGCATTTTCGTAATACATTGAATGAAAGCTTGTCGATCCTGCTTCGGCATCAAATTCACAACCATAATATTCAAATCCGTGTGTAATAGAAATATAAACACCTCACTATTTTTCATATTTAATTCTTGTATGGTTATGGTATTCAAATGTATGTCAGTAATATTCCTACAAAATTATGTGTTTTCGTAATACAATAGAATGAAAGTTTGCCGATCCGTACCTGCTAGCCAGTAATATTCCTCCAAAATTTCATGTCTTGTTTATACGGCAGCAAATGAAAGAATGGCGTTCGAAATAATAATACTTGTGGTGATGACAAAACACTATTCCCTTCCTCATAAGTTAGTATTTTAAAATTACATTGATAGTTAAATCACTCGTAAAAAGGCATAGCTAATTTCAGCGTATGGCGGACGTGACTCATAGCACATAGCTTCATAGTAAGCACTGCCTTATATGTTAAGCAATTTTCGTGTGGCGCTCGAGATTACGGGAAAGTGCCACTGTGGATGAGAATTTCTATATGGAGTCTTAAACCAGCGGCTGCCAGTCAGGATACGCCCACATTTTCGAGAGGTGGATAGAGAACAAGCTAAAAAGTAAGCGATTTTTCGTACAATCTGCGGCCATAATTCAGGAAGTTACCATTCGATATGCGCGAATATCGAAAGGAACCGAGATCTTTGGGTTATTAACTTACATTTCAAGTTTCAACAAAATCGGATAAAAATTGTGACCTTACAGGGTCCACAACCTTGATATACCATATTTTTACGCTATTTGAGAATGACGGTGGCCATTTTGTCTGTCAATTTTGGGCCGATTTTCACGAAATTCGAACTAAGCCATCCTTAGGGTGTAACGGTGATATAATAATACGTTTTTTTAAATCGGATAAAAATTATGACCTCTATAGGATCCACAAGCTAAAAACATGATTTTTCATACAATCAGGGGCCATAATTCCGGAAGTTACGATCTGATATGTACGAATATCGAATGGAACTGAGATCTTCATCAAAATCAGAAGAGAATTGTGATCTCTAGAGAGTCCACAACCTTGATATACCATATTTTTACGCTATTTGAGAACGAGGGGCGGCCATTTTGTCTGTCAGTTTTGGGTCGATTTTCACGAAATTCGAACTCAACCGTCCTTAGGGTTTAACGGTGATATAATAATAATTTTTGTTTAAATCGGATAAAAATTATGACCTCTATAGGCTCCACAATCCAAAAAACGTGTTTTTACGTACAATCAGGGGCCATAATTCAGGAAGTTACGGTCCGATATGCGCGAATATCGAAAAAGGAACCGAGATCTTTGGGTTATAAACTTACATTTCAAGTTTCAACAAAATCGGATAAAAATTGTGACCTCTACAGTGTTCACAAGCCAAAAACGTGATTTTTCGTACAATCAGGGGCCATAATCCATGAAGTTACGGTCCGATAGATGCCAATATCGAAAGGAACTGAGATCTTAGGGTGATAAACCTATATTTCAAGTTTCATTGAAATCGGATAAAAATTGTGACCTGTAGACTGTTCACAAACAATTGTGGACGGACGGACAGGGGCGACGACAATATACGTCCACATGAAAATGTGGGCATATAAAAAAGCAAAGTTTAAAGTGTATGAATAAAGCAATTTTTTTCTTACCCACAATTCTTACTCACACTGTAGTCAGCTTTAATGCATTTATATTTAATTCATTGAATAACAAAGTGACATTATTATTAAATATAGCGATTTTTAACTATATCGTTGAAAAAAATGCCAATATCGATTTGTCCCTTTTTGCAATATCGTACAGCCCTACTTTCACTTTCAGAATCAGACCAAGCAGAAATCCAAGTGTCTTCATCCAAAACATCAATTGGCTCTATGATATCACCATCCATGTCATTAGCAGAAATTTCAGCCATTGGCACATCAGTACTCGGGTGAAGAGCGTCATCATGTTCTGGAAGATGAATGAAGGGAAAAATTAACATTTAAAATAGGTGAAATAATATTAATATGGACATGTAATTAAATCAAGTTTTTAATAATTAAAAAATTCATGAAAATGCATTGAAAGTTTTATTTACTGAAATGAAATATTACTATAAAAGTATGTAACCTGAAATTGAAATGTTTATCTCATTCATACCATTTACAAATAGTACATGTATTTACCTGTTCGTACATTTAGATGAGAAAGGAAGCACTTCAGGTTGGTGGCCACTGTTTCCCATGGAAGTTTCAAAAGACTTCAGCAGCTTGTCTTCGGAACCCAGCACAACTTTCTAGTACTGAATCTCGCTATTCAATACTTTCTTCTTCGATGTTGC